AACGTCAGCTTTCCTGCTCCTCTGGTGCTGCTTGGCCTGCTGTGTTCATCCAGCTCTACACCTTGTTATCTCAGATTCTCCAGCATCTGCTGTTCCTACTATCTGTAAGAAGTTATAAGGAGAGGTTGGATACGCTGGGACCCGTTTTTATCCCTGGAGCATAGGAGATTGAGAGGTGACCTTATAGAGGTTTATAAAATCATGAGAGGCATAGAAAAGGTAGATAGCTGACAGCTTTTCCCCAGGGTAAGAGAGTCTAAAACTAGAGGGTATAGGTTTAAGATGAGAGGGGAAAGATACGAAAGGGTCCAGAGGGGCAATTTTTTCACATAGAGAGTGGTGGGTGTCTGGAATGTACTGCCAGAGGTAATGGTGGAAGTGAGTACAATTTTGTCATTTCAGAAACATTTGGACAGGTACATGGATGGGATATTTATGGGAGGGATACAAACCAAATGCAAGCAAATGGGACTGGTTTAAAGTGTGAAAACTGAGCTGCATTTGCAAGTTGAGCCAAAGGGCCAGTTTTCATGCTGTAGACCTTCTATGACTCTATGACTAGATTGTGGAGCCATTGACTCCATCAGGCCTATTCTACAACCACAAGACCAGAGGGCAAGTGTCAACCATCCACATCGACACTCCAACTGCTCCCAATCCACGTCCTCGTCCAATCTCCGCACACTGAGGAACTGATGTAGGAAAGACTATCTCATCTCCCTTCTCCCATCCTGGCTAGTCACGTGTTCAATGCTAAAGGAGCAGCTGTCATGGTGCAGTGGTAGCACCCCTATCTTTGAGCCAGGAGACCCGGGTTCATGTCCAAGCTGTTCCAGAGGTTTGTCATAACATCTCTGAACAGGTTGGTTAGATCAGCAACGGTCACAGAGTTATTGTGCCAATAATAGCAAACGATCTCGATCAATGAATCTACAAGAGACCCAGGCATCACGCAAATTCCAACATGTTCCAGCGCGGAATGGTCAGGAATGGGGGTCCAGCGTTCTCCCCCCTTCACTGGGCAGGATCACAGAGCTGGCCAAGTGGACTACAGTTTGGGATCTGCTGCTCTGTAAATTTCAAAGTGTTGTCTTTATCAATCAGACTCTATACGGCCTTGTTTGTTTGGGCAAACTCAAATGCAGGCCTCATCAACAATTTGTTTACTCCTGCCCTGTCAGGATTTCAACATAACATCGAGGTCTGATCAATGTGGAAGCTGTTCAGATAAGCTTTGTCAATATTAAGTGACTCCTTCAGTACAAACAGTGATGACAGGCTATTGATCGATGGCAAGTTGCTTATTATTGACCATATGGGCCAGATTCCAGGGATGTCAAATGTTGGCAACACATAAACAAGGCAGGTTTTAGCCATTGTGCAGTTTAGAAGGGACTTATTTTTTAAAAATTCACTTTTGAGATGTGAGCATCGTTGGCAAGGTCAACATCTATTGCCCATCCCTAGTTGCCCCTTGAGAAGGTGGTGGTGAGTAGCTGCCTTCTTGGACCCTGCAGTCCGCCTGCTGTGGGGTGACCCCCAATGCCACTGGGAAGGGAATTCCAGGATTTTGACCCAGGAATGATGAAGGAACGGCAAAATATTTCAAAGTCAGGATGGTGAATGCCTCAGAGAGGAACGTGGTGGTGTTCCCATGTATCTGCTGCCCTTGTCCTTCTGGAAGGAAGTGGTCGTGTGTTTGGAAGGTGCTGTGATAAAGCCTTGCTAATTGTTTCAGTGTGTCTTGTAGATGGTACACTCTTACTGCTTGTGAGCGTCGGTGGTAAAGGGGAGTGAATGTTGAAGGTGGCTGCTTTGGCCTCAATAGTGTCAATCTTCTTGAGTGTTGTTGGAGCTGCAGCCTAGTGGGGAGTATTGCATCACACTCCTCCCTGACTTCTGCTTTGTAAAAGTTAGACAGGCTCTGAGGATCAAGGACTGAGTTAGTTGCCATGGAATTCCTAGCCTCTGACCTACCGTTTTAGCCACAATGCTCAGTGGCTAGTCCAGATCAGGTTCTGGTCAATAGCAACCCCCAAGATGTTGATAGTGGGAGATTCAGTGACGGTAAGGTCATTGAAAATCAAGGGGAGATGGACAGATTGTCTCTTGCTGGGGATGGTCAGTAACAAATGTTACTTGCCACTTATCAGACCGAGCCTGAACATTTGTCATGTTTATGAAATCGTGAGGGGCATAGGTGAATAGCAAAGGCCTTTTCCTTAGGGTAAGGGAGTTCAAAACTGAGGGCATATTTTTAAGGTGAGCGGAGAAAGATTTAAAAGGGATCTGAGGGGCAACTTTTTCACACAAAGATCAGGTCAAATGGGCAATGGATTGCTAGTGAGATTGGTAGATACATTTAAAAGACATTTGGACAGGTGAAATAACTCTACAGAGGCTGGTATCCTGTCACCAAGTCACGTGGAGAGTCTGTGACACTGCTCCAGCTTCCTCAGAGCCGGCTCGCAGGGTAAACAGGATGTTTGACATTCCTGTTCAATCAGGGCTCCCTGATTGGACCAGGTCAACAGCCCCAATCAGGGAACTCATATTCTACGAGGTCCACCCGGCTGACCTTGTTACAATCACTACATCTCTCCTCCCTCTGAGTCTGAGCTGATAGACCAGTATTTTTTTTTGTAGCTCCTCCTGGGGTGTTTTAGCACCAGGTCAGGTTCCTCCAATTCTGCCCCTGACACGAGCAGCATGTAGCGGCACAGTAGCTCGCCTCTTGCTCCCAGATCGTCTCGAAAGAAATTCATTTCCCTCTTCAGGTGGCAAAGGCATTGAGACGGTGACATCCATGGTGCCCATCTCAGATTCCGAGGTTTCATCCATGTTTGACGGAGAGGGAGAACCCACAGGCTCTGGAATAATCTGAACGGCTGTCGAGGGAGCCAGGTACATTTTGATCCCGCTATGTTTGCGAGCTGGCAGCGTTCACATGCTTGTTCAGGACCATCGCACCCACCTGAATCTTATTCATCACTGGACCTCATGTCAATCATGCCTCTTATCCATGCAGGACCATTCCTCTGGTTCCTTCATCAAACGTTATCCCTTGAAGTACACTGTCTCGTTTAGCAGAGTCTTATATCCGGCATTGGCGTTCCTGATGCCATTTCACCCACCCCCCCACCAAGGCTCGGGAAGGTGAGGCTTTACCTGGCGTGGAGTCTTCTCCCCATTAGCAACTCTGTTGGAGCTAACCCTGTAGTTGCATGAGGGGTGGACTTATAATCAAATAGGAGCCAGGACAGTTTGGTATCTAGTGAAGCTGTAGGCTGTTTCTTTAAGCAAACTTTGGGCTGCTCTTTCTGCCATTATTGGATGATGGATGGTATGGAGCTGTCCTCATACAACAAATGCCATTCAATTTTGGGAATTCCTTGCTGGTAAATGATAGCCTGTTATCTGTTACCATTTAACCAGATGTTATTTTGATAGGTTCTGATTTGGATGTTACTAAGAAATTTAACTGTGCCAAACCAGATGGAGGTGGACTTTCCTGGGTGTCCACTCTCCTGGATATCGGCCTATGAGTTCCCTTACTCAATTTAGGTCTAATTGGACACTGTTGCTGTCTCGAGTCTGCTTACCAGCAGCAACTACAATGGCTCACCAGCCCAGATCCTGAAGAAATTGTTAACCATTTGGCCGAGTCTGGGCTTTGTTTTGGAGTTTTCCTGTGGGCTGACCTCTGTTCAAGATATGTCCTGAATGAGGCTAAGCAAATGCCTTCACTCAAGTGGTGTTCCCCAAGATCAGTCAGCCTGGCACTTCCATCGGAATACCCTGCAACTCGTACACTCCACTTGCTGCATTTTCCAATGATAAAGCCAGTTGTGGTGCCTGTTTGAAGTCCAGTTGGAATTCAGCTAGTAGGCACTTTTGCACAGTTACATCATTAGTCCCACATACCTAACAGTCTCTCAGCATCTCATTAAGGGTTAAACCAAAATCACTGCCTCTGCCAGTCGTCTTAACCTAGTCACAAATCCTGATACGGATTCCCCTGGTTCTTGAATTGCCGAGTAAAACCTATAGCATTAGAGGAGGCTTGGGGTCATAATATTCCTTCATTAAATCCAGCAACTCTTGAAAGGTTTTAGTACCTGGTGCCTCAGAGAAGGTTGAGGCTCCTAATGACTGAAAAAGCTGCGGGTCCACAAGCTACCAGGAGAATTACTTGTTGCTTTTCATTGACCCGATGTCATTTGCCTGGAAAATATAACATTTTTTCCACATACTGGGCCCAGTTTTCAACAGCAGGATCAAATGAATCAAGCTTCCTAAATAACAGCATGATGCCAAAAATGCTAACCCTAACTCAAACACAACTGTTGTGAGCGAATTTCTTCAGGAGCATGTTTTTTTCTCTCATCGCCACTGAAATAACTCCACAGAGGCTAAAATCCCAGCACCAAGTCATCCTTTATTTGCACATGGAGAGTCCGTGACACTGATCCAGCTTCCCTCAGAGCCAGCTCTCAGAGTGAGCAGAACATCTGACAGTCCTGTTTATATCCGTCAGCCAGGGCTCCCTGATTGGACCAGATTAAACAGCCTCAATCAGGGAACTCGTATTCTATGAGGCCCAAATGACTGACCTCATTACAATCCCTGTCATAGGTGCATGAATAGGAAATGTTTGGAGGGATATGGATACCAGACGCAGGCAAGTGGGATGAGTTTAGTTTGGCAAACATGGTCAGCATGGACGAGTTGGACCGAAGGGTCTGTTTCTGTGCTGTATGACTCTAGGTCCTGCTATACATGGGCACTGTCTGATGAACAATGGTAAAGTTAGTAAGGAGCTATAATGCACAAAGGATCATCGGCTTCACTCTCAATTAGAGAGAGACGACTGTTTATTGTCACACTGGAGGGTACCCAATCCATAAGGGTTGGTCAGGGTGAGAAGGAAGGGCCTTCACAAACTACTGCAGCTAACATGGGACCATAAAACAAAGAACTGCCAAAGTTGGAGACAGGAATGGATCCTGCACTGCTGGCTTTATTCTGAATCATACTTCTCTCATCAAGACAAAATTAGCTAAACAACTAGTTTATGTGGAATGCTGGTAGTGGCCCTACCTCTAGGTCAGGAGGCCCAGTTCAGTCTCACCTGCTCTGGCGGTATATCACACCATCTCCAGAGCAGGTTGATAAGGAAACCGCCTCCATAAGCTGGTATAATGTTCAGCCCAGGACAGTGCTCAGCAGAAGGAGAGGAGCCAGAGGGTGTCCTGCAGAATCTGAAGGTTCTGTAGAAAATGAAGCCTGGTATCAGAGGATTTCCCAACCGGGGCAGCACGGCAGGCCATCGATGCGTTGGTTTTTTTTGTAGGCAGTCCTATCAGATCTATGAGATAAATATCCAGTTTCTGCATTACTTGTAGGATCTCAAAGATTGCTGCTGTGTGAGTGTGTGTGTGCATGTGTGTGATTGTGTTTGTGTGTGTGTGCATCTGTGTTTACATGTGTGTTTGTCTGTATGTGCATGTGTGTTTGTGTTTGCTGTGTGTGTGTGTCTGTGTGTTCATGCGTCTGTGTGTGTATGATCATGTATGTTTTCATGTGTGAGTGAGTGTGTGTGTATGATCATGTATATTTTCATGTGAGTGAGTGCGTGTGTGTATGATAGTGCAAGTATGTGTCTGTGAGTGATGTGTTTGCATGTATCTGTGTTTGTGGGTGTTTGAGTGTGTAAGTGTGCATGCATGTATGTGTGTAATTGTGTATGAGTGTTTGCATGCGCATGTGTGTGTATGTGCGTGCATTTGTGTGTGAGTGTGTGTGTGTATGAGTGTGTGTGTTTGTGTTAGTGAGTATGTGTGTGTGTGAGTGTGTGTGCATGAGTATGTGTGCGTGTGTGTTTGTGTCAGTGTGTGTGTGTGAGTGTGTGTGTGTGAGTGTATGTGTGTGTGTGTTTGTGTTAGTGAGTGTGTGTGTATGTGTGTGCATGTGTGTTTGTGTTAGTGATATGTGTGTGAGTATGTGTGTGTGTGTGTTAGTGAGTGTGTGTGTGAGTGTGTCAGTGTGTGCGAATCTGTGTGTGTGTGTGAATCTGTGTTTGTGCTGGTGAGTGTGTGTGTGAGTGAATCTGTGTGTGTGTGTTTGTGTCAGTGAGTATGTGCGTGAGCGTGTAGGTGTGTGTGAATCTGTGTGTGTGTGAGTGTGTCAGTGTGTGTGTGAATCTGTGTGAGTGTGTGTATCAGTGTGTGTGTGAATCTGTGTGAGTGTGTCGGTGTGTGTGAATCTAGGAGTGTGAGTGTGTTGGTGTGTGTGAGTGTGTCAGTGTGTGTGTGAATCTGTGTGTGTGAGTGTGTCAGTGTGCATGAATCTGTGTGTGTGAGTGTGTCGGTGTGTGTGAATCTAGGAGTGTGACTGTGTCGGTGTGTGTGTGAGTA